TCAGCACGCTGGTCACGGTATCAGCGAGGGATACCTTCCCCACGCCGTGGAGAGTGACAGAACGGCCGAAACTGGAGAGGGGTTAGTTGCCATATTACCAGGACTAGGTCAAGGCATTTCCTGTTATGGTTTTGTTCAAAGTTCTTGGCATGTTGGAAGTTGATTCGAGCTTGTATGTAACGAAGTTGGCTTAAGTATGTCGCCAAATTGGTTGTTTTATTTCCCAGTGGTATGGCGTCATCGCCCAGGCATTAAGTTTCAAGACCGACGGCAAGCACAAATAGTTACGCTGCAATGCTTTTTTCAGCAAATTTGACCAAAAGACCAAATGCATACACATGCTTTGTAATTTGGAAAATGGTAATCTCCAAATGTAACCATGTCATGGCGACAACGAGATATTAGTTTTCGATTTGGGGGTTCTGATATTCTCAACCATCTTGCGATCTCTAGCCACGCACATTTTGCATGTTCTGAAGCTAGGACGATCCAAATATTTTGTCTTTTTCCAAACCCGTTCGGTTATTATCAGGCGATACCGAAGCCAGCTAGTTTAGACCACTTCTCAGCGATTCCTCTGACTCGCACAAACTGTGCGGCAAAGTGCACTAACTCGTCTCGTTTGCTGACCAGATATCACACCAGGCGCGGCGCACTCCCCTCCTCCGCAGCGCCCCCCCCCCCCCCCGCGGCTCTCGACAGCGGCACACGCCGACGGCTGGCCGCTGTCGGCAGCTGCAGCCGCCCCCTCCCCCCTCCAAATAGGCCCTCTCGCCGGTCAGCCAGCGTGCTGTCACTTTAAAGCACCGCAATCGAACGGGCGCCGGTGATAATTCAATGCCGGCGAGATGCCTTTAATGATGGCCGTCGGACCGCGTCTAGCACGTGGCGGATGGCCGGGCCGACCGGCGCGGCGACGGGCCGTGCGCGCCAATTTCACACCTCTGGAACAAATTACGGCATTTACTCTGAACGGCCAGATAATTCGACACACTGGCGGCCACGTGCGGTTGTATTAGCGGCCTGCCGTCCGACTGTCTACTCTTCACTGACGAGAAAATATGTGATCATCGGCTGATGGTGTTAACCCACAGCGCCACGCGTCCAGCCACCCGATCAATACCGGAGCGATGCGTTCACTTCCGGCGTGAAAGCTTTCCTCCAGCTGATCACCATACCTGAAAACATGACAACTCTCATTTGTGACGACGACTTTGGTGACGTTCTTCCCCTCCGGCTCCGCCGGCCGCTGACCAGAGTGGCGGTTACGGGGCCGGCACGAGCCCGGGGCGGGGTGGCGGTGAAGCGGCCGGCTCGCGCACGGGACGCGTGTCACCACCGGCCGGAAAAACAGGGCGACACAGCGACCGGAAGCCGCTGATTTCCTGTCGCCTGACCGCGGCCAAATTGGGCTAAATGAAACTGGATAGGCTGGGCTCGCCCCCTAAATCCATTCCCGGCCCGCATGGGCGGCAAATGCGATACCGGGACGGACGCGAGGGACTTCGGCCGCGTGCACATTTACCTGTCCTGATGGGGGCGATGATGGTTCTTAATTAAGCCGCAGATACCATGCAGAGATCCAACATATCTCATGATCTACGTAATCCCCGTGTCTTTGTCTAAATGTGCTATTTGTGTTGTTAGAAGTTTGCTTCGGAAATTCCATCAACAAATCCAAAATATGAACGTGATTCCAGGCCTGGCTTCAGCACCTCGGCTTCTGCGCTAACAAACGGAGCGAAAAAAGACATCCGACATTTTATTGGTTGGGGTACGTGCCGATTTAAAGACATGCTTGATCTTAACCCTCACCCTGATTCGCCGTTTTCATACCGCGAATTGATAGAAAGGGTGGGGGCTGGGGCAATACTACCCCCCCCCCATGCGGTTTTTAAACTAAGGGAGATAGAGCTTAGCAGAACACTAGCGGACATGTTATATATTACTGCTAAATTATTGCAATACAAATTACTACATTTTTTTCTTCCTACGTGTTCTTACTCATGTACGTTAGACACGGGGCTATAATAGCCACGCTCCATTGTGGATGGCTCTATGGATGTAACACACACACACGCACACACACACACACACACACACACACACACACACACACACACACACACACACACACACACACACACACACACACACACACACACACACACACACACGTCCCTATTTCGGAAATCTTATATATGATTATTACCAAATTTTATATCAACTAGCCCAGCTGAAACCAAATATATTGCTTGCATTGATGTGTGTTTGGATACTTGCCGACAATTACAAATTCACGAATGACAAGTAAAGCTGAACAAATCCCCCAAAAATGTGATGTTGTTTTACGGCATTTAAGGAATTCCGTGCATGCGCCGAGGTAACCTGGGTTTTCGGCATTTTCGTTTTGCTTTGTTTTGCCCTTCCCCTATTACGCATTTCTGCGTTCATCCCTGCGAACATGATGTAACTGGCACAAGGTTTGCTTTTACGATCTCATGGAACCAGAGCTTACCACAATAAAACAACATTAATCGTCATGAAGGCTCCGATGCACATATTTTCTTATGCCTTGGAAAACCGTTGCATCACGTCCCACCTGCAAACTGTATCGCGTCCACGTATTCCGTTGTTAGTGACATCAAACGGCTTCCTCCACAGCATTCTTTTCGAATACTGAGATGTGTCTTTGCATGCTTATAACCCTCCTCTTCCATGACATTGAATGGCTCACATAATTAGCTGCCGCATAACCATGGGATGAACATCGTCAGCCACAGTTCTTCGTCGTTGTCTGTTAGCTAAAAAGCGCTGAGCTGCGTTCCTATTGATTTCATCCCAATTGACTCTTGATTGGCCGTGGTTAGTTTAAATGTCCGACAGCCGACATCCATCGTCCACTGGACCGACACCAGCAAACTGCCATTCTCCTCTCTAGGTAAACGCAACGTCATTACCCCGGGTAGTAATAGCCATGCCGGCAATTTCTGGCCACTAAATTAATAGCCTATGACGGATAGTTCCGGGGTCGGAGAGAAGTGACGTCACGGCCTAGCGCCTCGCTGACGTCAGATTAGACATCGTCTGGTGAATTTGGGAGCTGATCCACAAACGTTTGCCATCTTCCTGGCAGGCCAAGTGCAACGAGCAAAAACCATGGCGTCAGCTGCATCCTATGGCTGTCTCGACCCAAATTTGATGGAACCTTTCATTGGAACGGGCCTCCAAGTTTGAAACCAGCTAAGCTGCAAAACACAGCGTGGCAGAGCACTCCACCTGATTGCGGCGCGGGCGAGCCGTTAAATTCAATGAAATCAAAAATATCCTTCCAAAACTTTGGCATTCAGACAGGGTGAATGAAATAGATCAACGGGCTTGCAGCATATAGTCACCTCCGGAGACACGTGCCCCTCCCCCCTTACCACATTTGTGGCACGCATTAATTTATTATGTCCGGGACTGAACGAAGTTCCAGGTATTTGCGTTAAACTAGGAAGATCGAGGGCATGCCATGTTGTTTTATGACATCCCAGAGGCTGCGGGCACCTGAGGTTTTGTAAGGCACCTGAAGGCACTGAACTCGGTTTTCAGGAAACATTTTATGCTCCGCCATTTAAACTCCGCGTACCTCCCTAGATAGTGATGCATTTTTGCACTAGTAGTCATGTTGCCTGGCGTAACTTTCTCCAAAACAAAGTGAAATAAACATCGATATGCCTTATACCAAACCATAAGCAAACCATAGACATGCCCTATAGGCTGTACAAATTACGAACTGTTGTGTTATTGGTACGAATGTTTTGACACAAATCATATCATATCTCTCATAAAACTATTTGTTGGCGAGCGTCACGCCTTTATGGAATATTCTACAGATCCTCAAAATGCCTGCGTTAATGACCGGCCCATTTTCCCAGTCTTATGCATCGGCGCAACCCAGAGCTTCCGTCAACACAACTTCCCAGGATGACCTGATTTTGGAACGACCATCAGACAGCGACAGGATAACACAATCACAGGTGGCAAGTGCCCTACCCAGGCCAGTCACGTGATGGAAATTATCCCCGATTACGCGGCGCCCGGTCGAAATCCTAATGATGCGTCGGCAACTGCAAGCACCCATTTCCGCAGCGGAAGTGGCTTTAATTAGTCTGTCATTATTGATGAATTTCAAATGGTCGAGCCACCCGGATCGCCGCATTTCAATGACGAAGTGCTATGGGGTACTGCGGAATGTGCGCAGCCGCAGAGCCCCTCTCCTTGCTTTGCCGAAGGAGGTCGTGTGGTTTTAGAGCGCATTAGGTTCTGGATCACATTTTTTACAGTCATCTCTAGCCATGGCATTCACGCCATAGGTGCATTCAAGCACAATGCATGCACTTCCTACTGGATTCTCGGAAGAGATGGGGTGCCGAGCATTCTTAGGGTGTGCTTAAGATCGGTGCAAACAAAATCATGATCTTTTTGCCCACAAGGATCATTGTACCTTTAGAGACGAATCCGATATCAAACCTTAATGCACGCCAAGTTCCGAAAGCCCCACAGCTCTCATTTTCTAGGGGTGGGGCCATGCTCCATTGGCCGACTTTGGTCTGCCAGTCTGCTCCTTTTAATTTCCTTCCCAGATATCCACGGCATCGATCAGTATCTGCGGAGCCGGACAGAGTATCAACCAGGCATTCTTCCGCTTTCGCCCGCTTATTGCTGGGGATAGGCAACGCCGCTCGTTGATCTGACGCGCTGACTATAAGTCGAGCCCTCCTGCGAAGCCATGCCTAGGAAGCGAAGTCAGCCATACGACCTTCATCTCGTGCGAAGAGCACCCAGTATGGACTGCCATACCACTTCTATCCATACGGGGTTTACCCCGTGGGATGTTTTGGCATTGTGGTCTTATTCGTGCGATCTTTTGGTATACGATCATTTGCTAACGATCTTTTGCGATGCGATCTTTTACCCGGTTGCTGGCTGACGGACACGGAATCGGCCTGTTGCAGTCGCTCGTCGGCGCAGGAAGGACGCTCGCCAGCGGCGGCAGCGGACCACCTTCACATCGGAGCAGACGCTGCGGCTCGAGATGGAGTACCACCGCAACGAGTACATTTCCCGGCCGCGCAGGTCAGAGCGAGAAGGAACACATCTCCCGGTTTGCCAGATCAATGAGAGAGGGGCGCCAAGACAAGGGACAAGAGAAAAGGGGGCACGAGGGAGAGGGGCAAGAGAGAAAGTTCCTCAAAGAAAAGGAACAATAAAGAAGGGGCCGGGAGGGAAAGGGCACAAGAGAAGTGGGCACAATGAAAAGGGGCAAGAGAGAAGGGGTATGTCAGCTGGCTCGCAGGTCAGAGGGAGAGGAGAGCACATCTCCCGGCCGACAAGTCAGAGCGGAGGGGCACCCGGCTCCGTAGGTCAGAAAGAGGGGAGAGGGTACTCCCGACACCACGAGTCAGAGGGACAGGGGAGCACATTTCCCGGCCTCGCAGGTCAGAAGGAGAGAAGAGCACATCTCCCGGCCCCGTGTTTCGGAGGGAGATGAGAAGGGAGGAGGAGGATGGAGAGAGGGAGTTGTGTGGGAAAGGGAATAGAGATCAATCAGATGTGAGACGTCTGGGTAAGGTGGAAAAAGGGAAAATAAACCCTACAGGGAAAACGGATAGATGAAAATAAGTGAGGTAAGCAGGGGCGCAGCCAGGATTTCGTCAAAGAAGGGGCTCGGAGCCCGGCGAAAACGAATCGCACCGGTTTTCAGCTTCCTGTCGGGGGCAATCTGAGGTGAACAATGGAAAATCCGGGCCTACAAAGGGAACAGGCCCCGGGCTACTCCCTTGGCTGCAACCCTGTAGATATGTGAGGGAGGCAGAGAGAAATCCTTAGAGGAGAAGGGCTGGTCATATCTCTCTGTTCTGCAGGTGACATACGGGTAAAAAATCGAAGCTCTATCTATGTCAAGCCGGCTTCCAGCTAGATGAAAGCCTGGATACCATCTACACACAAATACCAAGGTTTTCGTTATGCGTTCTTGTCATTGTTTGAGATCTTTGTAACCATCATATCCTAGCTTGTTCATGACGAGCCATTCGCTGCGCAGGACATCAACGTATTTTTGGTGCCATGCCCTTATATCACTGAACGATGCTACGAACAAGCTGATGCGTTTTATAAAAGCTTGGTGGATATGCTTTCAGATTTGAGCTTGCTGAAAGCCTGGATCTCACTGAAACGCAAATAAAGATTTGGTTTCAAAACCGGCGGGCGAAAGACAAGAGAATCGAGAAAGCCCAAGCGGACCAGCAATACCGGTGAGCGCGCACTGCACCGACTCAGCCGAACTTCTCGGCCATTTCAGACGCTCTTATAGGCAAAGTTCCACGTTGGAAACATTAAAGCAAGAAACATCAAAGATGATGAAGTAAGCTTTGTCATAACTTTTTGTGCACTTTCAGGTGGAATAGGCTGTTCCAGCGAACACATTTTCTCTATTTAGTTAATATGCCCCTCAATGCGTCACTGTTTGTACGCGTCATCGTATTTTACACAACATTAAATGAGAGCCAACTGACGCCCCTTATATCTGTACATTGTGCTCGCCAATGCAATATATGAATGACTCGACAATTATATTTTTTGGCATTGATCACCGCATGCCTGATGGAATAGCAAGATTTGAATGGCGTTTTTATGGGGTCATGGATGCCTGCGTGCCTTAAAAAGTCTCTCCAAAAGAGTTTGCACATCTTTGCGGGCGTGTAGCTCGGAAACTAGAGCGGTTTAGACCGTAAGGAGGAGGCCAGCGAACTGCACCGAATGGCCTTCAGAATGGCTAACCCAGTTCAGACCCCCCCCCCCTCCATACAAATGAAGAATATCTGCTTTAATTACGTATTACCCTGTGTGCAATGTGGAACACCTCACCGGGCATCCATCCTTTCCAAACTTTTTCTTGTCGCTCAGACTCTCGCCATAGGGTATGCAAACGTTGAGCAAATGCTGCAGTAGCGATTGGAATTAAAATGCTGCTTGCAAATCGGTTTGTGTCATTGGCCAATCGCGCAAACAAGTATTTTTATATTTGATAGCAACGCCTAGCTACGACTGATCGATGGTCTTCTACGCCCGTGCGATGCGATACTTGAAGGTTTTAAAGGCCCCGTGTCGACTGCGAACACGACGGAATGGTTGTTAATGAAACCCTGATTGCTTGCAGTTCTTCTGGTTGGGTCCTTTCATACACTGCCGTCGCCGATTAAATGCTGCATCCGTTTTAAAATTGGAATTGGGCTATTAGGTTGTTGTAGCTAAGGTCGAGCCAGCTGCACACGTTTCAAGTTAATTGATCTTTGTCAGATCCACTATCGTAAATTAACACCATCTTCAGGCTGTTACTGAACATTCAGAGTCTGATTATATGCCTGTAAAGTGAGACATCTTGATCTCTGACAGCAATTCTGCGTTACAAATCACACCTGTGACCTGCGAAATCTAGATGGGAGAGTAACCGCAACCACCACTGATATAAAAAACCAGCCATTGCCGTCCTAAAACACAAGCTCCGGTCATCAACAAATACGCTTCAATGACTAGCTTGCACAAATATTCCGACGAGCTTTGGTGTCCGGGAGCTTCTCCAACAGCTGGCTGAATTGTTGCTGGCTGGTGACGTTTCATGTTTGCAAGTATTACATTACGCTAGCATGCTAAGCAGATTTCCTGCCGGCTGCGCGTCCCGCTTTCACGTGTAGGTCAGCGGGGTTCCAGGCCGGGCGGCCGGGCGGCCGCGGCCCCCGGCCCGCGCCCCCAACAGAGGAAGTCAGGTGGATGCGTGCGGACCGCCCCCTCTGGGCCCTCCCGCGTGCCTTCCGGTCCGCCCGACAGATAAGGAAATATCAAGTCAATTATATTCATTAGCTAGGTGTGCTTGCCTAATGAGGTGCGTAAAGCTCGGGGCTCACGGGCCATGAAAACCGCGCGCGCGCCGCCGGCCGGCCCGCTGAAAGGGGAGAGCAGCGCCGGAAGCGGCTGACAAAGGATGCGCGCGGCACGGTCGCGATGCGGCCCATTTATTAAATCAATGTGTGGAGGAGTGACGGCTGTGAAAGGGGGAGTGCACTAATTGCCGGCGATTGTAACACCCGTCCGTGATGCTTCATCACCGAGGCTGCGCATATGTGATACGGACGAATCAACGGCTAATTTATCGATGCTCATTCCAGTGGCCACTATTAACGATTGGTTCATTTGGCTCATTTCGGTGTGGCACTTTGGTTAGATCCGAGCTATTGTTGCCCACACGCAAACACGATGGTCTATTAAAGGGATGGACCGAAATCCCCTGCAACATCTCTGACTTGGGACCACTCGGGGGACGACTTTTGCGACAGCCTCACTGAACAACCATCTCGACTAGGTCTGAAATCCGCGGGTCCACTAAATACGTGATTTTCAGCCAGCCGGCCAGTGACGCCGGGCGGCGCACCGCAACAGCCCCGCCGTGTGTCCGCCCATCGTCTATAACCGGCTTCGTTAGCGGCCATCTGGCTCTGATGACGGCGCGGTGATACAATCGCCCGGGGCGGCCGCCAGTCGCCGCCGCCGCTGCCATGTCGCGTTCTCGGCAATCACGGCGCGCACCTGTCCACGGAGCCGACAGTTAGAGGCGAGGGCCATTGTCGGCCCGCTCACCGGCCGCCGGTGACACCTCGTCATGACAATATTCATGAATTGGTGATGGCGGGGAAGCGACGCTGCCCCGGTGGCGGGCTGGTGTGTGTTACAGGGCGGTGTGGCGACGCCGACGCGGCTCGATACTGACAAGGCATACGACAGATATGGACGACAGATAGCCGATTGCCATTTGGAGGATAGCTGACAATGAATATTTATTGGTCGCCTGTATCGGGCGTGGATCCATGGGACACCATCCCGGCTGGTGATAGCTGCACTATCTGCCACCCCGGTCACGAGGGGTGCTATGCTTCGCACTGGTGCTATGCTTCGCAGCCTGCGGTCGTCGCACCGATTATCTACCTCACACAGCAGGGCACCTACAGACCACGTTTTCAATTAGCGCTGACACACGCCGTTTCTCCAGCCAGTTGTTATTTTGTGACGCGTGTTCATCGCTCATGGCACCGCCGCGCCGCCGGTTCTCCGCGGCCGGCGGCGGCGCGCTGCTGCCCGCAATTCATCAGCGGCCGCCGGTTTGTTATTGGGCCGAGGCGGGCTGCGGTCCGGGTCCCGGCCTAATCGGAGCTCTTCCGGTGCTGCTCGTTTTTGCGCCCACTCAGTCGAGGAAGGTGGCACGCGCGCCTGGCTGAGGGGGCCAGCCCCGTAATTGCCGGCGGCGGCCCGGTGATAGAGCTGAGGTGAAATCATCGGCCCGGTCGGGGCGGCCGCCGCTGACCCGGGGACACGCGCCGCGTAATGGCGGGCCGCAGAGCTGCCAGATGTGGCGCGCCGCCGCTGACCCGGGACACGCGCCGAGCAATGGTGGCCCGCGCAGCTGCCAGATGTGGCGCGCCGCCGCCGATCCGGCAAATGGTGGTTCAGCTGATCACGTGGCCGCGACGGTCCGCTGCCCACCCGTGGCCATTCAGCAGTAGTCAATGCCTCAGCTAGCTCATGGCTGCTAGCGAGAAAGGCAAAACTGGCCTATTGCTCAACTTATTGAGGTTTTTAGCATTTTGTGTTGACATTTCAAGTCGCTGAACCGTCAAACATGCACAATATTCTTCCAACGCGGAAGCACATAAATATGCATCCCTTCTGCGTGATGTTTGTACCATGCACAGATTAGGTAATAGACAATGGAAGGGGAAATCACGACGAACTGTTATGGCCTTTTACGGGGTGAGGGGAATGCGTTATTCTGTTACGTAGCAAATTGATAGCTATGCAGCCAGGGCCGTCACTCTTAAGAATCGCGCGGGAGGGGGCATCAGCCGAAACAGCTGACGTAGCTTGCCCCCAAAACCTGGTTTCTCCCCAGATTTCTGCCAGCTGAACTTGCGTTTTTCGTGTAAAAGTGTACAATAATCGTATGTCTAAAATTGCTTTCTTGCGTGGGATGATTTCCCATTTTAAGTAAATGTTAACTGCTTTCTGGTGAAAAACGTGGAATGGGAAGCAATTCACAGAGAAATATTTTGGTAAACCTTGATAATGGATCACTAATGGCTACCGGCGTCACCGGTCGTGTTGTATAACCACCGCAGTCACGATTATGCGACAAGTACACTAACCAGTGTCAATGGAAACATGCGCTAACTTTTATTTAGGCAACCCCATGCTTTAAAGAGCTGACGCATGTTCCAGTAAACTGTTCTTTATCCCAATCCGGGCGTCACCATTCGAAAAATTTATCAAACATTCGCAGGCTGTCTCAACATATGAAGGAGCTAGTATGACAAAAGCACTAGGTACATGCAGGATATTCTTTGAAGCAAAATTGGCATGATACTGATAGTGATTTGTTTATATACCTAGTACCTATTCCACCAACAGTTAAGATAATGATTGTTCCGTATTTATTTGACCCAGTATTCCCCCTTCGCTCGTGTGCATTGAAGGGGCTCAGAGGAACATTAAGGGGGCTCAAGCCAGCATTGGCGAGGGGGGGATCTCAGCCCCCCGAAAGTATATGAAGTGACGCCCCTGTACGCAACACTTCTGCAAATCGCTGCCCAGCTATGCAACACTTTCGGCCATTTGATTTTTGCGCTCGTCATCCTCCGCCAGTCTATTCTTATAGTATTCAGGCTGGATGCTAGCAGATAAAGGCGAGACTGTCTTTTAGCTGTCTTTAACATCGCGCTGATGTCCTGCAGAAGCGTTTAATATACTTTCAGCTAGTCTCTCCTTAACCATGCTGATGATTTTTTGCACACGTCCCAAGAGCAGGGGTGTAATTTCTTGTTGGGAGGCGGGAGAGGTCCAACCTCACCCCAGATCGAGCCCCCTTGCTTTGAAAAGAAAGTGGGCCTAATCCGGAGGGAAACTCGTTTGCTGCGGTAACTGTATGAAAGTTTTCGTCATTTTTCGCGGTTCAGCCGCTCCCTCAATTCATTTTGCAAACTTGCACGCACGACCAACCGGCTTGAGCCCGATCTCAGAGAGACTGGCGCGGGGCATCTTGGTTTCATACGCAAAGAAAAGCCCAAACTGATGGCCGCCGGGGAGTCTTGTCCGCCGGAACTCAGCCGAGAATGAGCCCAGAGTGAACCAGTCGAACACATTTCACATTGAAATAATGGGCGTGGGAATCGGGCTCAGTATTCCGGCAGATTAAACCACACTTTTAGAGTTAGTTCGAACGTCCCTCTGACCGAGCGGTAGGACGGAGGACTCACATAATACTGGGGGCCTCAAACATACAAATCAACTGGGAGCTAGCCAAAGAGAATGCACCCTTGGCAACAGGCGCCCCTGGTCGCTCTAAAATCATGGCATAGCATGACACGTGAAGTATTTTTCCGATATACTGCCCAGAAACAAACGGCAAATACTAAATTTCGTTGATGATGTCATGTGCTGAAGATCATAAGCCTCCATTTTAGCATAATAAAGTGATCAAACGAAACCATCAGACTAATATTGAACTGTACTCAACAATGTATGAAATGTTCTGTAGTTTTTGGAAGTTTTAGGCTTTAAATACATTTCAAAAATGGCCTGATATCTCCTTTAAGTCAGCCCGTCCTGGTAAAATAAATGTCGGATGTACAGCATAGGAGCTTGCATTGTGATAAACTCAGATGCCAAGGCATATGTTACTTATTTCAACCATGAACAACCACTCCAGTGAACTGCCATAATGCCACCTAGGTGTTGGCTCCAAGGTGCAAGCACCGGTATGCCTATATCTAGCATGTCTTCTCCAAGTTCACTGACATCTATTCAAAGCAGCTTAACTTAAAAACGTCAGGAGCAACGCACCTCTCAGACATTTGTGACGCAAATGTCTCGGAAGCCTGCGAAAGCTACGCACATAAATTAGGCATTCGCCTGGTAACCTTCACGCATCCTGGGGGAAATGATCGCTAGTCGATTTCATACCTGCCGGGTGACCGATTTCATACCTGCCGGGTGACCGATTTCATACCTGCTGGGTGACCGATTTCATACCTGCTGGGTGACAGCCAGACTTAAGGCATGAAACAGCCTAACGAAGGGGCCAGAAGTGACAGCTCCTCCACAACATCCGCAAAGACCGTCCGGACCATTTCTCCACGGGCTGGTGACCCGCCAGCCTCGTTTGAACGACATTGAATCAGAGCTTTGGCGGAGGCATCTCTCTGTGTGAGGGATTTATGTGCTCGCATACTGCAGCTGATTCATTGCAGATAGTGGGACAAGAATGCAACTGTACGATCATTGGAGTCCGATTTATAATTTGCTTTCCGATCTAGTTTCATTCCAACGATTTTGGACGTCGGACGAGGGTGACTGGACTGCCAAGGCTGCTCGCATCAAGATGTCGGACAGTCGTTAGCACCTCGTTTAATTGTCCCGGCTTAAAAAGAAAACTCTGCAGATGTATTGTGTCCGTGTCAGATATTCTTTAAAGTGATATCATCGGCGACAACGCAGATGGCTCCGTAGAAACAAGACCATTGGTTTTTCAATCACAGTTTATCATGAGCATCCATGTGTAAGGCCGCCACTGTGGAATTCCCGTTGGAATTTTGTCACGCAGGGCTCTGAGATCGTCGTGCTGACCTTCGTTAAATTGTTTTCGTTTTCATTTAATCACCTTTCATCGTACTAGGAACGGAAAACAGAACAGCGCGCGAAAGAAAATATATTCCTTTCATAGGAAGCACCCATCTGACATACTGGTGCACACAGCTCGTGAACATGTAAAGCATGCTGCATCGATAAAGGCCATGGTTGGTACTTCTGGTTTCGTAGGTTGGATCGAAACAATGAGCGCTTTTAATACATTTCATACTGCATGTAGTCCATGGTCTGAAACACACGCAACGTGACCCGTCCTTTCATACCTACGCCACTTACCACCTTATGCGACAGTCGCAAAAAGCCCACCCGCAGTCTATAAACCCACAGTTTCATTGATGTGGCCAGCCGGTGTCTGGCGCCACCCGCGGGTGTCGTTAAGTCCCGTATCTCCCGCCGCGGGTGCGTGGCGCTGGCGTCAGATCTGGCGGGACCTAATTCCCGTGTCTCCCGCTGCAGGTGTATGGCGCTGGCATCGGGTCTGGGCAGCGGTCTCGCTGGTGGCGGTCTGGCCAGCGGCTGTCTGCCCGCCGGCTACGGGGAGCCATCACTGAACTGCAGCCTCTGCTACATCAAGCCGCCGGCGGCGACGGTGGCGGCGACGTCTCCGCTGCTCGCGCCGCCCGCGTCATCCTACCGATAGAGCCGGGTCCGCCGTACCGACGCCACTCTGCCGATAGAGGCTGGCTTGTACCGTTCGTCTACGGTACCGGCAGAGGCATGCTCGTACCGTCCGCTTATGGTACCGGTAGAGGCTGGCTTCCGCCGTCTGTTTACGGTACCGATGGAGCCGGGCTGGTACCGTCTGCGGACTCGGACTGCGAGCTGGGCACGTACCGCCCATCCCGCCGCATCGGTACAACCAGGCTTGCATCGCTCGTGTCTTCATAAGCCAAACCTATTTTGTGGCATCTACAAGACGGAAACGCAGCCTGGCTCAGCGGCGAGACGTAACCTCGGGACAACGGGAGTCGGCGCCGTCTCGTGCGTCCGTGATCCGCGTTGGCTGAAGCAGTTCGTAACGGCAAAGTTCAAGTGTCGATGGTGCCGTGTCTGTTCGCACTGGTACGCCATAGCCCGCAGTCTCAATGGTTCGGTGATGCCGTGTTGATTCGCACTGGTACGCCATAGCCTGCGGTCTCATTGGTCCGAAAGTAGGGCGGTGCGTAAACATTTTGCAACTAGCTGATCTCCACATGCTCATGAAACATTCGGCAGTGCTGTATGATCTCAAAGGAAGGATCTCTGAATGCTACATAGATATTACGTGTTGCTCTTAACCGGTGTTAGCCAGCACTACACTATACATTCAAAGCACCATATGTATCATACACATCGTATGTAAGCATATTTAATTATTTCGTGCTCAAGTAATCATATCAAAATGTGATTGTAACGAATGCGTCGCGACGAGTGCCGTGTAATGTTAAACTTGCAATGCAAGCGAGTGAGATGCACTTGGTTCTAGTCATATTAGTTCGTGCCCTCAGGACGCTAGCCAAAGATGGTCACTTGTACACAATGACATTGCCCACTGCACACATCTGCATTAGAACAGATGGGGGAACAATCCATGCAGTTAGAGGTTATGTCCAATGTGCACAGCTTTTCCTATAATTGTGAGATATTGTTGCTGCTAAGCCGATGGTTACGGAAAATTGAGTCAGGTAAACGTATGCACCGTTTAAATGGACTGAAAATGTGACGAGAATATGGAAATAAATATAACGTACCCAATAAGGCTACAAAACATACATACCAAACACGTGCACTTGAAACATATGGGTTCGTTCATACTCAGTCATTTTCGGATTGCATGAAGGTATCTTGTCACCAGTTGTTTATTTGGTGAAGCAACGCGCATTGACCTTCGCATGTAAAGACATCTAGACAAGCATGATAAGTTGTCTTTAGTTAAATGACTGGTGCATTAAGAAGTGTAGTGAATATTTGGGAAATGCCCATTCATTCCAAAAACTGTCAAAGTTGTGCGTTTGAGTGTTTTTCCGCTTTAAACCACCAGTTTTCAGATCCGAAGGCCACACCAGAGTACTTTTGGAGCGCGCTTATCAAATATGCGCCATGCCGATGCCCCCTAAGCAACTGCGAATTCCGGCAAACATATAATGTACTAGCACTGCCTTGCGTAGAACAGAAAGACATCCCATGCTGAATAAATGCTGCAAAGAGTCATTGTGTTTGATTTTATTGCAGCAATCTTGTAGCGGGACGGACACATGAATGGCTTGCTTGGGTTTCAAATGGCGAGTTTTATATTGTGAGGCCAGAGCGTTTTCTATGTCCCTCGGTGTTTTATCATCTCTACATCCATAAATTACGTAAGAGACAAGCAGGAGGATGTCCTGACCAGCCATGACGGTCCTCATTGGGAGCAGGAGTGGAAATTGCTGTCACGCAGCGGGTCGAAACAATGCAGCATTTTCGGCTATTGGGTCACCATGCATGATAACTAGCTCCGCCACTCAATTCCCATTGTTTCCAAGCCGAATGTATGTAATGAAACACCAGTCAGCCCGCTTTTACACATTGTTAACGTGCTACCTTGGTTACATGCTGCAACGCTTGCTTCATTGACTTCAGTCGACATGTCACACCCGAAGCATAACTTGCTTCGGGTGCGACAGGCACAGACAGACAGACAGACACTTTCGGGCGCGTCCTGAGGAAATCCAAACGGGGCATGAACTTAGAAAAAAGGCGCAAGACGTGCTTTGGTTTGATGTGCCAAGAAGCCCACGTTGAACACGGCTAGTCCGTTCTGTTTTGGGGATCCCAGCCTCAGAAATGTCCAGTGTGAAGCATCCGCTGCGTGTTGCATCCTAAAGCAAAATGCGCAAGACTTGAAGCTCAGACTTCGGGCCGTTTAAATCGCCATAGTTTGGTCGTTCCTCTGGCTGATCGAGATAGCATGGAGGGTGAGAAATCCACTGATCCTGCAGGCACACCAGTCAGCTGGCAGCTAGCCACGCGGCGTGACGCTAGCACAAAGCGGCCGCGTCACACTGTTGTGTGCCACGAAACAGATCCACCACTCTTCTCCGAAACACGGGCACTGATGCTTAAGTATCCATTACGCTGACATGGCGCTACCTGGGTGATCAGCTTAGGTTGCCAGCGAGACTGCACGCATGCCTACTGGGCCCATGGCCGCTGAAACAGAGCATTCGTAAGTACTAAACGAAAGCATCAGTCGGCAGTGGCGACGAACTTGTTAAAAGTGTTCTGACGGAAATGTCCTGGCAGCGTGAAGTAGGTGCACATAAATTACCCGTCGCTTAGTTATCGTTGGACACCCAGGGCAACACATGAAACGTATGCTTATTTCACACTAGGCGCGCTGGAATAATAATAAGAAAGTGTGGCAGAATGCAGAAGCGTTTAGAACTAGCTTATCACCCAGAACATCCCAGTAATGTCATTTGCCATTTTGTATGTTGCCGAAAGAAAGGCTTGGCCAACCAAAAATCAACCCTAACATTCAACAGTACCACTTGTTTCATGCAAAACATCAACAGTACTATTTTACTCACATGTGTGCCAGGTAAAACTGCTTCAGAGTAAGAAATACCGCAACGATGCCACTGTGGGTTTATCAAAGTTTATTCCGTTACAGTGACCCTAAATGAGTTATTCATTCCTTTTCCCCTCAAATTGTTTGCATGAGCAGCTTTGGGCTCAAGACGCTTGATAAGCAGAACCCGTCGACTGTACCTTGAGCTCTTCACCCATGCTGTTGTTTTGTTCTTACAGGCACTTTTCTCCTGTTCCTTTTAAGGGGGGAGGGTGGCATACGAGACTGCAGGGCCCCATTTGTCGTAAAATACTACGGTGCCACCGCGCTGGACCATGTTGAGCATCTTTGACTAATTGCAAGCTGACCTCTCATGAAAGCCAGGTCAATGTGCTCGTACGGGGCGGGCACCTAGCAGTGACATAGCCAAGGGGGAGGGGGGGACTTCATGGCCATGGCTCCCTCCAGGAGGTGACGGGGTCCCTTCAGTCCAGAGAGCCCAGTGATTTTTGCCAATCTTAGACTCCATTATGATTCTGCAACAAAAAAGATACCCGAGGCACCAAAAAAAAAGCTAGGGCTCCGTACAAAGGACCTCTTATCGATGAACGGGGGCTTCCTTGGCTTAAAGGGCCCCTATGACCCGATTTGGCCCCTCATGGGCGCAGTTCCGGCGACAACACCAGTACCCAGTGCTGCTGGGTCACGAGCCCAGCACCTTCCTCTGGCATACGTATGCTAAGCTGAACTTGGTTCGGATGTCATTTTTTTTAGATCGTGAATTGGTTGCAATTGGACTGAGAAGGTTGTCTGTGTGGAAATGGTTTCACTCAGTCGCCACTGGGCTGTCGGTGCAATCAACCATATTTCAAAAAAGACGCAAGCATTCGTTTCATTAAGCCAGATAGCCGGCATATTACTAACATCGAGGACAAAGCAGACGACATCGCTGAAGCTTAAAATGACCGATTGTATCATACTGATCATTTACATCTCCCGTGTAAAAAAATAACTGCATGAGGTAATGACACGCATCGCTGAGAAGGAGTCGTGCAAGTCATGCCTTATGGAGTTTTGAGGGGAGAGGGGAGAGTTTCCAAAATGTGTTACGTAAAATATGGATGGTCACTAAGGCAGAGACGTCGATATTTTTCTAGGGACGGGGGCGGAGTTCATCGAGAACACATCATGCTGATTCTTCACTTTCGTTCAGGATACATCTATAGAAAATATTAAAAACAAAATTTCTAAGAGTACTTTGGCATGCTGGTCTCTGCCCTTGGCTGTGCCGTTGCCCGGAACTCCGAAGTACCAAAGGCTGCACGGCGCACGAGCCACGCTAGCGTCAAATGTCAGCGCACTCGGTCCGTTTGCTCACAAACCTTAGGTTTGGATCTTTGTCGCTAGATGTCTCTTTCCTCCTGATGGCGTGCTGGATGATTTCGGCGCCGCTCCGCCGATGAGGGTGGGCGGCCCGGCGCCGGCGCCGCCGGGAGCCATTCAGTTCCGGCCGACCGCTCGTGCGCGTGCCGTGACCGGGCGTGACCTAACCCGACCCGAGCGAACATGGAGCTGGAGCAGGGCGTCGCTGAGCTGAGCGTCAAGGAGCAGGCGGGCAAGAGGCCTGGCGCGCAGCCAGCAGGTGAGTCCCGGCTCGACCTCACTTTAAATATCGCGCCGGTCCGGCCCGCCGCCAACACAAGTCTCCGTGCCAGCGCGGCTCATTGTTTGTGTTGACGCGGCGAAGAGCTGGCAACAGCGTGTCAGGCGCTATTTTAGCGCGGCGTCGAGCTCGCAAGGTCGTGATTCAGTTCGTTTATTCGCGAGGTGCAGGGCCAGGTGACCCTCCGACATGGTGCCAGACGTAAACTGTTGCGGTCTGAAGAACACCACTGACACGGCGATGTCAACTCTTGCCTCTCAAGCTCAACAGAGCTGGTGTTGATACAAGTGTAAAAATTACGGTTTTACAAACGGCTCGGTTCTAAAAAAAATATCAGGTAGGCCAGAGGGGATGGGAAAGGCGGCATCTTGTTCTTGATGCCAATGGAGCCATGACCTTTTAAATCGATAAATTGATCATCACGGCATCATATGTAGCCGTTTGTACGTTTCACTG